ATGCATCCTACATGCTTATGCAAAATGGATATAGACTTACATGATCAAACTGGCAGGAAAGAGCAATTGTGGGTTTGTATCTAAAGCATAAGCGTAGCCTAAACTGTTAAAATAAACATTTTTTTATTATTTGATATTCAGGTAATATTTGCCTTGTAAATGTCATTCCTGTTTGCACTGGAATTATAGTGATTCTTACTAGATTCCTAGCGCTAATTTTCTCTCCAATAGCTTGTCTTATCCAAATGACATTTGTTTATACTGTATTGGATTGGAATCCTAATAAACAAGTTATTAATCAGGCTTGAATTTTGGGGGGTGTTTCATAGCATAAAAATACTTCATAAAGTGTAACTCTGACTCATGTATAACTCTAAGGCTTTCCTTTGTTTAAATATTATATTGAAAAGGTTCTTGGAAAAAATAAAACGTATGTACCAAGTGGTGTGGTCTTTAGTGAAGCACATATTGAGAACATAAACAAAGGAGGGTGGGTGGACACAGGTACAATATTCTGATATAAATGTATGTCCCACTGTGGCAATTCTGGTATTTAGCCTGGTTAGGTAAGAGCAGAATCGTTTTTGATTCTTTTAATGAACATGCATTTTGTGAGTGTAGTGAGTAGTTTTCTTTTTCATTCTATGAAATGTAAACTGCTTGATTAAATTAAAAGGAATGATTTCGGAAAGCACTGTCAGAGCTCAACTTGCAGTGCATTTTAATGTAATTGATTACCTTTGTGAGGTGTCTCACTCTTGGTAAGGCATATAGGGAGTTACTTCACAAGCATCAGGAAGTGTACAGACACGAACGCGAGAAGTAGTAATTTTAAAAGTACCTAAAAAGTACATTGTTTTCATTTTTGTCTTCATAAGAGATGCTACTCAGTATCTCCTCCCACCAAAAATGCAAGAATTGAATTTCAGGGACATTCTTGTTCAAAGAAACTTGAGGACTTCAAACTGTAAGTGACAGTAATTTTTACTTCAGGTGTGGCCAAAGCAAAATAAAATACACTTCTAATGTAATAAAATATTTGTATGCATTTCTGTTTTACCATAGTTAAATCCAAACAGAATACTTACAGAGTAAGGAAAGGTTTAATGTTCTTTTGTTTTAGTTGAATATAAGGTAATGATGCAAAATTAAAATACAGTGTCGTGAAAAACTTACTGAGATATTAAAATGGATGTAATTTTAAGATAAGCATGAAAATGGGTTTTGGCCTCTTTCTCCCTTATTGTTGACTGTATCAGGCCAGATCCCGAGCAGAGCTCAGTGCCAATGGAAATTACTCCATTTCTAGCAGCTCTGGACTTGGTTCTCTACATCAGGAATCAATTGATAAGTCATGTGCGATGTATATTAGATGTATAGGTTAATTTCCTATAGGTTATTTTTTATTATGCAATATCGTGTTACATATACATTTCCTTAATTCCAAAACCTCTTAAGTTATATTTCACACTTTGATGAGAAAAGTATAGAAGACAAAATGTCATCTGATGTGTATTGTATTTCATGTTCCTATGCCCTGTGGGAGGAAAAGAAAAGTAATAGAACAGACAAATAAATAAACGCGGTGTTGAAACTGGCATGACAGTTTCTGCTCTTACGCAACGGAACTGCAATCAATTTATTGTCTTCATTGGTCAAATGCCAGAATAACAGTATAATATTGTACAAGAGTAGATTAATTAAAGTAATTAGAACAGAATAAATTAAATAATCATAAAAGTTTGTCATGGGAAAAATATGTGTTTAGAATTAATTAGTTTTCAAATAAAGTGATATTTTAATTGCTCAGAGTTACAGAATCTTTAATTGCAGACACATAATTCTGGCCCAAATAACTTCAGTTGCTGTAACAACTTGATATATTTCTTCTCTGTCAATTCTTTTTAATAGTTTGTTACTAAACAAGATTATTGCAGGAAATGTCTGCTAAAATGTCTGGAAGATGTTTAATTAAGCCCATGCTATCTGAGGACATTATTAGCTCTTGGAACCAAAAGATTTGTAGCTGATGCTGCACTAGGCAGCACCCCTAATTAAGGAGGAAGGGCAGACAGAGCCCTGTGGCTGACAGATTGCTATGCATGGCTGAACTACAGGCTACTCAAAACACGCTTTTGATGGTCCTTGGCTTATCATTTTTCTGCTAGGTTACCATGATTTATCGAGTGTACAAACATAAATTCATTTTAGGTCTCATGGTATGGTACAGGAAGGCTGTTGTATAAACCCTTCTTTTCACTTATATTATGCATTTTCACGTTCTTTAGATCTGGCATTTGTAGTCCTGTATGTTTTGTTTTGTTTTGTTTTGTTTCCCCTTTGCCTTACCTTTATGGGAGGGTGTGTCACAGAGCTCAGCTACTGTGTGTTTTTGTGTTTGCCTGCTTTCTACAAACGTGGTTGACTGTAGTTACATCATCGCACTTTATCAAGCAATTAATGGTTTCAGAAAGTAAAACACATGGGTGTCTTCCCTTGTCTGCAAAGTGAACCTGTTTATGAAACGCTAGAATTTCATCCACTTCAGCCGTATTTCAATGATGTATTTTTGACTCCTTTATTAAAAGCTAGTGCAATGACATTGTGAAGCAGGAGCTCTCATGTTTTCAGTCCCCATATTTTTGGCATAAATGTATCCATGATATTTTGCTGTCTCCAATATGTTTACTTCAGTAAGATTTGCAGTGCCCAAAATGTTTAACTGTGTTAAAAAAGGTCAACCAGCTGATAGCTGAAGGCGAATATGTCAGAATGAAAGACTGAAAAAAAATTATCAGTCCGACACAGTGGGAGTATTAGAATGATTAATGTTTATGTTAATTTATGGCTTTTACATATTGATTAATAGCTTTTTGTTTCAGTGACCAAACTCTGTAAGTGGCAATGAGATCCATATGCTAACTCAGTGTCTTTCAAATAATTACAGTCATTCTTAGTTTTGTTCCCATGTTGAATCTATGTTTTCATATGGAAGATAATTATTATACAGTGACTTTTTAAAAAATTGCAGATGGAAGTATTTGAAAGTGAACCTTAAGACAAAAGCCTAGGTTTCAGTCTTCCTGAAGGCTGTACACTGACACTTACATACAATTTTCTTGCAAACTTCATTACTTAAAATCATAATATATTGTAGTTTAGTATCTTTTAGTTAAGGGATGCTTAGAGACAGAAAAGATGCTAACGCTTTGTGAGGAGCTATTATCTGAGTGGAAATCATTAAAAATGTGTTCCATTGCAAGACGGTTATTAGTCATTTTCTCTTCTGCTCCCATAAGACTTCTTGGCATATCACCAATTGCTGATAAGCAATTTTGTTTTCTATCTGTCCATTGATTTTTACAATTAAAATGTGGAAACTTCCATCATTCATTGTGTAAATGTTAAGAGAGCAGGCAAGTTTGGGGAAGCTCCTGAGAGAGGATGAACTCCTAGCCTCCCTCAAAGTCAATGGGAAATGGAGGTTCTCAGCACTTCTCAAAATGAGACTTTTTCTTGAAGTGTGTTTGTGAGCAGGCAGTCACTGTTAGCCATTAGAAATGACTTGGTGACCATGCAGAATGAAGGCCCTGACAGCATTTAGTGTTCCCAGCCTGTACAAAGTAGGACAGGGCTCTTGTCAGTTGTAATGCTGCCCATGTGGCAGCAGGCTTATAATATCAGTTAATAGAAGATTGTATACGTTGCATTCTCTTTGACACTGAGGGGTCTAATAAGTTTTGCAAGCAAAAGCGTTCTATGTAGAACTCTGTCTACACTGTGCAGACACGGTATGCTTCAGTGCAGGCACACTACTGAGTGCTTCCAGTCCACTCTTGTGATTTTTTTTGTTGTGTTAGTTTTCAAAGACAGTTACGAATACACATCAGTATGCTTAATTGCTCCTTTGGTTGTCATAGATAGGAGGCAGTAATATGGAAAAATAACCAATTTTAATAGAAAAAATAGATTATTCTTCTAAAAATTGAGTGCTTTATTAATACCTCTTGTTGGTTAAATCATAATTTTCTACAAATGCTAATTTCTGCTTGAAATCAATTTCTTGATTCAAAGATATCTACTGATTTCTATTTCCCAATTTAAATCAGCTATTTTCTTTAAAATTAGCTTTAAGGAAATCATAAAATTACAGTACAGTTTATATCTACATTTAGCACCAAAGATTGCAAATGGAGCTTTAAACTGAAAGAGTAACGCTGGTGTTAGTTGACTGATGAGTGAATTTTCACATATATTCCGAGGCTCTGACCTGTGCAACAGTTTGTATAGCACTCCCACATCCCTTGACCTGTGCAGGCAGTTGCTGTATGAGATTTCCTTCTGATTCTGCTTTTACTAGTGTGGGTTTCAGCCTTTGCACACAACAGGCACATCGTGTTTCAGGACTGGGGTCCCTTTCAGAAATCAGGCTGCCTGGCTTTTGATTTTGGATTTTAAATGGCCTTTTCATTTTTCCCTAAGTGTTTTGTTCATGCTAGCTTGCTACACGATCCAAAAAGGCATTTCTTTGTACAGTCAGTTATTTTTTACTCAGGTGCAAACAGATTTCTTCAGAAAGTTGTCTTGCAAGTTCCCTCTTTTTTGCTGCCTTCATTGCAGCAACCAGGGATGTCTAAGATGTCTCCAAGACCAGCTGTGCTGTAGTGCTGTAATCCAGCGCGGTGCATCGGGTGCTGCAGGGACGCCTGTCACTCTGGCTCGTCAGCAAGGCAACAGCTGGCTGGAGAGGGAGCGGCCACGGTGGTCCCAGGCAGCCCTTACAAGGGGGTTTGCTGGGCAAAGGATGTTTCACTGCTGTGAAACTCTGCTGGTTGCAGTGGCTGGAAACTTGGGACGACTGTTTGGGAAGTTCGTACTGCAAAGGCTGCCTGCTGTATTTTAACACTGGGGATTGTAAGTGTAATGGAATGAACAAAATTTTTTGTGCTGCACTATTAATTTGATGGAGTCTTTTATTTCCACTGACTTCCTCTACAGGCACAGCCAGTGACCCACTCTGAAAACACAGCTGCGCACTAGAACTAAGCTATGGGACGCGGCAGAGTGTCACAAAACCTCTGAGTGAGTGCAGGTACGCACAGAAGTGCAAGCTAAAAAGGGGCTTTGTATGAATGGAAAAGAAACAGCATGGAAACGGGGAAGATCAGTTTATTCACATCTTTCCCAACTCATTCTTTGCTTTGATTTTTCCTTTGGGAGGGTGGCACCTGGTAGACTAGGAATTTTCAAAAAATAACAGGGATTTCATATATCTGGCTGTGAGCACACCTGGATGTGTTGAATTTTTGCAGTAGTAATTATGTCTGCACACCTGCTGGTTTCAGTCCCAAATCAGTTTGCCAGACATGCCTAGAGAGATTTATTTCCCCTATACCTGAAAAAGTTCTTACCATGGTGTTTGTACTATCGTGAATGAGCCTACAGAAAAAGAGGATTTTTTCTTGTCTTTGTTTGAACCATTGGTATCTCAAACTGAACCGTGGAGTTTGCAGGGGGAGGAGGGTGTTTGGATGATATTTTAATAGCAATTTGTTTTTGCTTCTATGTGTGATAGAAATGCTAGTGACAGGAGTGGGAACAGGAGAGTTGCTGAATTCTGCTGGAATTTTTCCTGTGGGAATCTGTTAATGTTTTTAATTCTCTGAGAGATTTTTCTAAGGTAATCCTTTTGACATTTACATATTTTAAATGACTCTCATTAAATAAAAGCTTAACTTTTTTATATCAAATGCTGAAGTGATGATACTGGAATACCACTGCATAGAAATTCAAATGGCTTGAAGATTATTCTAATTGCAACCTAAACAAAATAAGCTTCATAAAGGACATAAATAGTGAATTGTTCTCTAAAATAATGTAATTTTGAAGGAAATTCAAATGTTCTGGCATTTTGCAGAAGCATATTTTGCTGTACAAAACCCTTTTTAGTGCCTAACAATTGCTGTGTTTAGCCATTTGCTAACTGAAATGCTGATTTGAACAGCTGGGTTTTCCAATTGTGGCTTGCTTAGCAATTTATTCTGTGCAGGAGCCCATGGCTTTGCAGCACACCTTGTGAAAAATACCTTCAGTTGTTTGTATCATGTTGGAGTGTAGCTTAGCCTCTAAAAGAGGATCCTGCTACCAGCACAGGGAAGGCTAGAAGAAATCAAAAGTGGAACATCTTTTAAGAAACAAGACAAGAGAATGGTGATGGGGTATTTCATCTCTTCCTGGTGATTTCCTCTTGCAAACAAATTATGCCTTAAGCAAAACCATTCATATATTTTAATGCGCTTACATAGGCAGCAGGAACCGGAGCATGAGGATATCTCAGGCACAAACATAGGATGCTTTTAAATGAAATTTCTTCTGTAGGTTGCAGTTTGCTAGTTCAAGCCCTTGAGCCAAATTTTGATCTCAGACCAGCCTAAATACTAAGTAAATTCGTTTAATTAAATTCACTGTAGATATCCCCAGTTAACAAGAACAGATTGGTCTCCCTGAGGCTAGATGGAGTTAACACGAAAATAAATGTTGTGCTAATTAGAGAACTCATTTTCAGACACCTGGGGTTAAACTTTAAAAAGTCCTAGAGATTTAGGTTTGAATGTTTATTTGGAAATGAGTCTTTTGCTTCTAAATCACTTGGGCACTTTTGAAAAATTTACCCAGGGGCTTTAATGCTCACACAGGCATCATATTTAGCATGTTTGGAGCTGTCTGTCTTAGCAAAGCATGCTATAAATATTGTCTGCTAATATCAGTATACTGCAGTGTAGTTCCTTATCCATAAAAGTAAATTGGAGACAGTAAGCTGCCTGGTGGTTGAAGGTAGGCTAAACGTCCTGTTTCTGAGGCGGCTAATGTGTCAGTAAGAACAGATTGATGCGTTCTCAGGGGGGTTTAAGGCACCAGTGTAGAAAATTTCCATCCATTTGAGTCCTTGGGGGACTGATTTAGGTACCTAAGAACTTTTATTAAAATTTTGCTCTTAAGTGACTTGTCCAAGCTTCTACATCCATGGACGTAGAAGGCAGCAGAGATGCATTTTCATAGTTGCAGGAAGAAAAATGAGACACTTAATACTGTTGTACTGCCATTCATTTGCTGATTCATGATAGGAAGTAATAACAAGTCATATCCATCACATGTCCCATAAAAACCAAGATAGGTTTAATATTAAGCTCAATTTCAAAGTTTGCCTTTCTGATCAGTAAAACAGCAAGCAAAGATCCAGGCTGAAAGAAGTAAAAAGTCACTTGATTTGCTTATAGACTGAAAATACGTTTTCATAGTTGTTGCTATTTTGTTTTTTGCTTTTCCTGTAGCCAGTCCAAAGATTTTTCTGACAGACTACCCTTGTAAAAACATGCATTCATACTGTGTTTCATGCCAGGTAAAACCCTCCCTGTAGCGAGGCACACACTTGGTATCTGTCAGCAAAAACTTCTGTGTCAGTAATTAGGAAAATGCTATTAAAAACCTGCCTTGTTATCCCAGGCAGCCTCTGGTTTGACTCAGTTTTGTTTTGTCTTCCTTGCTAGTACAGTAACCCAGGCTCGTTGCACTGTGAAGAGGGACCTTGCCTCTCTGACAAGCCACCTAGCTACTACATGTGGTTCTCCAAAGTGTCATTTTGAGGACGACAGCATACTGCTGGAGTGTCCAAAAAGGTGACCTCTGGTGACAAAATACATAATCCAACAGGTTTATAACACAGGTGAAACATGTTACTGACAGCCACGTGGGAGCTGGATGGGGGCAAACCTGTGCAGCATGTAATCATCTGAAAATCTGCTCCAGCTGAGCATATAGATTGTCAGACACTATCATAAAACAGATGAGTCAGGGCACTAAAACATGGAGGTTATCCACATCACTAGTCCTAAAAGATAATTGTGTTTAATTAGGACCTATAGATAGCATGGTGATTAGTGATCTGTAAACACCAAAGGTAGACGTGCAAATGAGGTGCATCCATTAAACACAATTCAAAAGCTGCTGAGGTGAATTGACAATTGAAAATTGAGCTTTTACCATGTAACTTGTAGCTCTACCACTCTGTTCTGGTTTTCTGCAATTCCTTTGCTGTGAGCCAGGAGGCATAAAATCACCCTACTGAATTTGGAAAACTTCTTGTTTAATCTGGTCCAATGCATGATAGGAAGTAATCCTATCATTCCCATTTCATGGGAAGGAGCGATCAGAGTTGGCATCAGCTGTGACACAGCTACCCTTTTCTGTATGAAGCCAGGACAGAAAGGTAGAAGCACAAATATAAGCACAGAGAATAAATTCACAGAGAAAGCAGAAAAAAATTAAAGGTGAAAACTCTTCTTGTAATGCATGCTATAATGCAATTTCCAATTAATTGCAAATTAGAGTTGTAGCAGCTTCTGGTTACATTGTCCCTGCACAAGTCTGGAGGGTCATTTGTCACCAGTCAGAACACGGGGAAGTTGTCCTTGTCCTCTGGTGACTGTGCAGGAACTGCCTGCAGAGATGCGAACGTGAACGGTCTTTTTTCTGCTGCAGAAATCCTTTGTAAAGGTGCCAAATCAGTAAGTGTGTGCCTAATCAGATCATACAAATTGTCTCTGTTAGTTCATAATACATTGTTCTTCACATTTCCCATGTTTGACTGGGCAACATGCTTCCCCAAATGCTTGTCTTTTTCTTTGCTGACTTGGGCCACATTTGAACCAATGACATAAAGCTGAAAGCATCCATCTCTATTAATCCTTTGGGGAATACAAACCCCTTGGATTAAAATGTATAACACAGTAGTCAAGTTAGGGTGAAATAATGCATTTCTTTTTTTCAAGTAACCATGCTTGGAACCAAAAGTTCAAGCACTTGAGAGTAATGGCAATCGTGTGTAAAAATGATCGTAGCTCAGATCTCATCTGAAATTCTTTTCACTTGACATATTCGCTGCAGTGATCTTCTGCAAATGGTTGTGGGTACAAAGCTGAGAAATAGCATTTTTATGGGGAGGAAAGGGTAAGACCTGCCAAGAGGCTAAGTGGAATGATAAATTGCTTGCCCACTGAAATTCTGGATATCCAGTTTCTTGCATTTAGTACCTGCTCCTTTTTGCAGCAGGGAGAGCAGCTGAACAATTTTGTGTTTACAAGTATGTGCATACACAGGGACAGCTCAGCACTTAGCTAGCTTAAAAGGGGATCATTACCTAGTGTCAAAAAGCAGATTTGATAGGTGCTTGATCAGTCAAAGTTAGGAGGAAATACTTCCACAGAACTTCTTGGGAAATAGATATAGCATCCAATAATGGCAATTTGAAGAAGAAGGTAACTAAGCAAAGCAAGTGTCCTGGTCAGAATATTTTTAGAGTTAAAATTTCACTTTAGGCTGTCTTACCCTCTGTAATACCTGTGTCATCTTGCTCCCCCAGTGCATTGCTTGGATGGCTGCACCACCTCCGGATCCACAGTTTGTGCTGCGAGGCACCAGTGCTGCAGTCCACGCTCTACATTTTTCTTGTGGAGTCCAAGAGCCTGATGTCCCTGTTCTTTTCTCTGGGTAAGTAAATCAGGATTTCTAGCTACGCTGAGCATCATACAGGCGTGTCTTTTTAAAATAAAGTATATTATTTAGATAAATAGTATCTGGAGAAAACAACAAAATGCATGACTGGTGAATGATGGGCATGTTATATTTGTATATACAACTTCAGTTTTAAGGTGGGGGGAAGAAAAGTATCAGACAGTCTTATCAGATTGTGTGCAATGGTCACACTAAAAATATCTGTTATTACTGCCAGGTCTGAGAATGGGCTTATCAATGTCTGGAACCTAAAAACACACAGAGTGGACAAAGCACTGGATGGCCATGGAAGAAAATCTGTCTGCTGGGTGGAAACAATGGATGGTAAAGACAGGCTCCTCAGGTTAGCAAAGGCAAAATGCAGTGGAAATTATTCTTGCTTCTGTTATGTACCTGAGTTATAAAAAAAAAAAGCAATTTCTCATTTCTGGAGTCTGTTCGACACATACAGAAAATGTACAGAAATACCAAAATCCAGAAAAGATGAAGAACCAAAGGTGGAAGAAAATATACAATTGATTTCTTTAGATGTAGTATGTGGCTACATCTGTATCATAAAGAAATTAATTCTATCCTTTTTCATTGTAGTTTCATTGGGTCCGTAGCATCCTTGTACTGAGATCATGTGAGGTCTCTGGGTAAAGGAAATGAACTTGGATATGAAGTTAAGTGCTTCACAACTGGTTCTCAGGGAGTATCAAATTTGATACAGTTTATAAGTAGAGGAGAGAGGGAGAAAAAGTAGGGAAGGAAGAGAAGAACCAGAGGTGGAATGGTGGAAAATGAGCAAGAATGCTGAGTTGCATGCCTGCATTGCAAAATGTCTTGCGTTCTCATTTAGTGAGGGAAGGTTGGGAAGATTTGTGTACTTTGGATTAGACAGGTGATCTAGAGCAGAGTGGATGCCAAAGCGTCTGTATGACTGGGAGGTGTTCTGACATGTTTATCTAGAGAAGACATCTCTTATAATATACAGTGGAACTCATTAGCATTTATATTTATCTACTTAAGTACAATTATCAACACTCTCCCCCATAAAATCCTAGTGAATGAGCATTGTTTGTATAATTATAGTTTTTCATTACCTCTATTTTTGGTGTATATTTATAACAGTTCACATTGCAGTGCAATTCTAGGACAGTACTTAGCTGTATTTTTTGTTACTCTGTTCTAAAACTAAATCACCACAATTTCTTGCAGTACCACATTGTTTGTATGCCCAGTACCTGAAATGTTTTCAGTTTGTCACTCAGCTGAGCAGCAGATGGGAGTTCCTGTACTGATGTTGAAGAAGCCTTAATTGGTCAGATTCGCATCTACCCCTGTTTTGGTTACATACTTCTGTCAAGTGATACTGCTAATTAAAAGAAGAAATAGATGAGGGATTTTTGATGACTCTTTGTCCCAAGTGATGACACAAGGACAGGCATCCTGTGCTACTGTACTCTGCGAACTGGGAAAACCAGAGCTTCTCCAAAGTGGTAATTTGTTCCAGAGAAGTGGAATCACATAAATATGTAGCAACTGATGCTGCGCCCTTTAAGTGGTGCCTTTGGTTTTACTGCTTGGGACCAACCCATGGACTTTTCTGTGGCATGGAGAGGGGTCCACGAGAGCCTGTGCTTGACTGGGCTGCACTCATACATCAGTGGTGCCGCTGCAGCCACTGTTTTTTCTTTTTTGGATGTTTCAGCTGCAGTGTTTTATTGTTTAATTCCTGCTGCTTGCCAGTCCCTCTCCTCACAGACAGTTACAGCAGTCTTCTCTGCCCTCCCTATGGCTGTGGAAGTTGACCACTGAAAGACTGTTGCTTTTCATTTACCTTTGTGGTCTTTCTTGCTATTTGTCTTTCAGCTATCAACATGCCTGATAATTCCATTTCATTGCTAGGGTGAAAGAATATTAAATGTGCTATTCTGTAGATACTTTTGATTCCCTTTAAATTAGTTCTAATCAATGTTGAAATGTAAGTATAATGTAAATATTCAAATAAGCATTAAAAATGATAAATATTTGCGCATATAGCATAACTGTGTTTGATCAAGGGTCTCTTTGTAAGAAAACATGGCTAACTGTGACTGCCATGTATCTGACTGACTCAGGTCCTCCCTCCTGCTTTAAAAACTTTAATACCTACTGTCCCGTTTTGCAGCTAGTAGAAGCGTAGAGACTCAGTGACACCGAGTTAGCACATGTTTCATGAAAGACCCTATTAATAGACCTGCAGAAGCCATACTAAGCTCAGCCCTTACTACACGTTGAACACCCAACTTTGAGATACCAACCTACAGGAAGCCAGGTTTTCTCAGTCCTGCTGCTCACAGAACAACTTGTTTTATTGTAAAAGCCAGGGTCGTGACCAGAAGATCTGCCTGTGGGACTTGGCAGAGGGACGGGCTTCAGTGACAGATTCTGTCTTCACGGAGAATGTGGGATTCTGCAGATGTTCTCTGTTAAAGGTGGCACAGGGACGCTGGCTAATGGCCATGGCAGCCAAAGCCCTGGACGAGGTAGGAAATACTTCTTTTTCTGGTGCTCGCGAGATTGCTTTTGTTTCTTAAATTGGAAAGTTCTGAAGAAAGTTCAGAAAGTTCATCACTGCTTTCAAATACTCTGCTCAAGAGAGGACAGCACAAGGAACCTTCAGGGGTTCTAATCACTAGTACCTGCCAGGAAGATGACTGAATTATACAACTCACGCTCCAATAACAAGGATACCACCCCAAGTTTTGTCTGACATTTAAGTATTTGCAGCTGCTGCTGGTCTTTCATGTGCATGAGTTTTGAAAACTCCTCTGGTGCTGCTGCTGAATGCTGTAAAAGGGGAAAACAGTCCTTCTGGGGAACTAATGGTCAGAAAGTCTGTCATCAGATGGCAGTACTCATCTTCCATCTCTAGCTGAGAGTTGTGTCTGGTGAGAGAAGCGGAGGTACAGGTGATTTGTAATGTGATACGTGGTCTTTCACCTCAGGCTAATTCTTTAACTGGTACTTTGGCTGGAAATAGTTGAATTACTATTAGCAGCCAGAGGTTTGCATGGTTTGAAATAATTGTAGGGTTCATTTCAGTTCCTACTGAATAAGTCCACATCTAATACCCATTATCACACCAATCATTGACTGACAGCTTTATTGGCAGTTTCCACTTCTGTTTTGTAGAAATTGTATTTTTTGATTTCTTTGAATTATTATTTAAGGACATTCTGCAAAAATAAAATAATTCAGATGCTTGACATCAAAATACCAAAAATACAAAAAATAAAATGAAGAAGTGGCATAAATAAATAAGAAAAATATTGTAACTTATTGCAAGCTGTCTGTGAATATAAAAAGTCATGAGCTTTTCTGGACCCTAGGATGCATAGCTTGAAACTGAAAGTTACACTTTCTATATACTAAGTAATATGTGGGAATGATGCCTGTATTGCAAGAAAATAAGAACTTTTTATTGTTCAGAAGCTAACCATATATTTAAGTACTTAGTTGGATCACAGCCAGGATGCTCAGCGTTTTACAGAACCAAGTAAGCCCATAAAAACAACCACTGTATCTGTAAATAAAACTACTCCAAGGCCCATATATTGTTCTGATCAAACAAGGAACTACCTCCATTTTACAGAAGTGTTCAATAATATTTAACTTTAGCAAAATTGAAAAGTGCACTCTTGTATCAGGTGGAGAAGCGTTTGTGTCAGGCAAAGAGTACACACGTTCTGTTCATGAAGAATTAAGTAGTCATCTAATCCAAAGAGATGTTTTACCCCAATGTCTCTTACAGCTCATCTCTGTTTTATTTTCATTTGTTCACTTGGGTCCTGCAAACTGATAATGATTTGCTGTCTCCTGAAGTAAAAGAATCCCACTTTGTGTATGAACCTTTACATTAGAACTGTGTCAGGTTTCAATAAATTCGCGTACTCCCATAATATATAGTGCTTCCAAATAGGCAGCACTGTGTGAGACACAGTACATTTGCAGCTTATGATTAAAATTAAGACTTAATAAGTGTTTATGTTTGGCTGGTGCCCAAAGAAGAGTAATTTTGTCTTAAAGCAGGTTCAGTCCATAAATAATGAGATCTGAACAGGCATTTATTTGTTCATGATTGCATTTAAATCACCAATTATGAGTTACACGCACTTTTCTTGCCAATTTGCCAGAAACATGTTAAAAGCTTTATTAATGTGAAAAAGAAAAAGGGTGTGTTTCCTTGTGGCCAGTTTTAGCCACCCAGGAACACTATTAACCTCAGGCAAAGGAAAATCTTTCTCCTATTAAGCAAAACCAATATAAACACAGAACTTCAAGTTTTAGGTTACAGTTGTCAAAATATATGAAATAGTATTTATTTCTAAGGCTCAGTTGCCTCTAATGCAGACAATCTCTGGAACTGTCAATCTAGCACAGGCAGCTCATGCCTGACTGCCTTTTGCAAAAAACTTTTCTCATCCTTGTGTTTTTCTTTGTCCTTTGAAGCCCAACTGTAGCCCTTGTACTAGTTCTTCCCTTTTGAATCAAGATAAAGCAAAGGAATGACTTTTTTATTTTTAACCTGCAGAAGTGCATTTATCCCAGTGTTTACCCTTCCATATTAAATAAAAGTTACAGTTTTGGTTTTCTTGTGATCTAGCAAGCAATGCCCTTTGGAGAGCCAGTGATGAAAGACACGAGATGAGAGCGGGTCATCTTCATATTTATAGCCCATTTCCTGTAATAGCTAACTTGGTCGTTATGTTGCTAGCAAGAAAGTTGCCAAGAGAAAAGAATCTTTTGTTAAGAGCATAGCTCCAGAGAACCAGAATTCCCAGGTGATAAAACTTTGGTCTGTTAATAGGTTTGGTCTACACATTGGATGGCTCTGTGCTGTAGTCCTCATCCCTCAAATCTGGAGAATGATTTCCTTCTCCATTGCTAACTGGCTTTAGAAAGTGTTCTGTATATTGTGTTTAGTACATTGTCGACTTGCAGTCCTAGAGTGCAGCTGGCTTTTGGCAGGCTAGCTGACAACCTCTAGAAATAGGAAGATGTTCTGGCAAGCTTTGAACTAAAGGTATAGGATTGGAAAGCCATTGCAGCTGCCGTGGTCTTGATTGATGGCTCCCAGAGGAGCCATATTTGTGTAATACCTCATCTCAGATGCTTAAGGAAATTCGCATGACTGGGGCTGTTCAACAGCACTATTGGGCCTTTGCACATTCTGAAATAGCCGAGGATGGCTGGTGATGCTGGATTTATCAAATATTTGAAGTCCTTTATTTTTATGAGATAATGTAGACCATTGTTTGGTTAATTAAAACAAACATCACCTGAGTGATAAAGGAAGCATCTGAGAAAGAGCAATATGAAACAAAATGTTCCTCAAAGCAAGTTTTTGATAACTAAGAACTTACCTTTCTCCATAGTTCCAGGCTCAAGAGTCAGTCCAGAGACACTTTTGTGTCTGTCAAGAGACTCAAAACCTTCCAGTGCCAAATTGCAAAGGCAGACTCCCCTGATCTTGCCTGCCATCATCCTGAGGTGGAAATGAGCTACTTCCTTGGCAGAGTAAGGACTTCTTGCCCCATGTTTTAAAAAAAGAAAAGAAGACAGAGCCATAATTCATTACCATCAGCACAAGCAAAAGTAGAGGCTGCTATGTAGACAGAGAGCAGGTGTTAAATACAGTATTGTCTGACCCTATTCAAAGCAGGGTCAGACAATATTGTAGTAAAATACCTGTATGCCATCAGTGCTCCAGCTTGCATTAGCAGATGATTCTGGGGTTTAAATTTTGATATTTTGCTCATGCATTCAGCCAGTAAATAAAAAACTCCACCCTAGATAGCTAGATAAATAGTGGCTATATATCCACACAAGCTCTGTGTTACCATGCCACAACAGAGGAGATAATGGAAATGTCCACAACTGAATGTAACAAAAAACTTAGCAACAAAGATGGAAAAAGAGGAGAGGGAGAAGCAGGGTAGTGTTTTCAGATTAAGCAGTCTGCAATATTATGTATTGTGTGCACAGTATCATCCAGTCTATGTGAAGAAGACTAAAATACAGACAAAAACAGAAAAGCAGAAGATGAGGATGTGTTCTAGCAGTTCTGCGTGATCTTTCATTAAACAATGCGTTTATTTAGATAGCTGTAGATTCCCCTACCAGTCCAGCTTAGCATGTATTCCCCAGCTTCCTCCAGACAGTTTTTACTGGAAGCGCTTACACTAGCCTTAATCACCTTAAAAGACTTGTGTTTTTAGCAGCAGAATTTTGACCTGGAGCCTGACCAAATTCTCTTGTTTTCCTGATGTCAGGTTCAGGTTTTGGAGCTGCCATCCAAGACATCAGTCTGTACCTTGAAGCCAGAGGCGGGTGCCAAGTTGGGCATGCCCATGTGTCTGAAGTTATGGCAGGTAAGGCAAGAGTGCCTGCTAATTGTGAAATGTTTTCCCTGTGATTCATTTTATATGAAGCACATGAATCTTTCTTCACCTGGATTTTGATTTATTATCAAACCAATCAAGTAATTATACTATTAAAGGGGGGAAAGATTTGTGAACATCCTTAATGTAACTTTCAGAGCTTTCCAAGCCTTAATGGAAGATTTGCAAATACTCAGGGAAAGCTTTATATCCTTAGGATAGATACAGTTTTTGCATCAATCAAGAAGAAAATGAGTGACTTACTAAACCCAGTTGTTTGATATGGTTTCTCGCTGTATTAAGAATGATGAGAAATGATTGGGTTACTTAAAAACAGTGATTTTAATGGTAGGTTACATTCACTTCAGTGCCCTCAGGATAAGGAAGCACTCTATGAACATTTCTATTACAGGCATACAGTAGGAACAAATATTTATGGTTGTATTGGCTTTGGACAAAAAGGTAAATGAAAACAGTTAATGAAAAAAAACAAAAAGCATTTGCAGAGCATTTAGCAAATAATATTTATGGGGCGACAGTAGTGAAAGGCAAGTAATACAAGAAGGTGGCAGTAGAGGGAGGAAGGAGTTTGTGATTGGCTTTAAATCTTGAAAGAATTGGTTACAAAGCTGATTCCCTATTTTAACTCCTGACCACATACCACAGGTCTGCAGTATCATCTGAGCTGACTCCTGCAGGTTTGTCTGAAGATTTGTATTGGTCTCAGCTGAAGAAAGTACAAATCAGTTGTGAATTTGAGGCATTAGTGTCTTCACTCAGGGTCCTGGAAGTCCAGAGGAATTCAGTTGCTGACTTCAGGCAAAAATAGGAGAGGCCACAGTTCAGGTCCCATGGTGTAATTAGCTAGGAGAAAAAAATAAAATAAAAGAAAATAAAAGAAAAAAGAAAAAAAGAAAAAGAAAAAGGCAAATGAAATAGAGTGATTAGGCTTTTATTAAACAGAAAGCTGTTTATTCTAAAAAGGCAATCAGTGTTCAGTACTCACTGAAATAAATGTGGCTGTTTCCTGGACATGTTTTAATAAGATGAAGATAACTGAGGAAATATTCAGTGCAGAAGATTTTGTAGCCTGTATAAGAAGTCCTCTGTCTTCATCTTTTCTGTGAGCAGTAACATTGCTATTCCTCTAGGAAGCAGAGCAGGTGGAGATTCTTAGTTAGTTAGTTTTTAATTTTGTTGCTAGTGGGGATAAAGCAGAGGACTGGGAATTATGAGGGATAATTTACTTCATGCAGATTCTGGCTTTGGGAAGTCACCACAACTTCCTAGACTGCAACAGGCAAGGACAGATAATCCCCTACAGTCTCACAGCTGTATTTGTTCTTTTACAAATATGTGCAACTCAGTTTAAAAGCATGGGGGAGGAGGATGCTTTTAAGGGCAAATGATTACATGTGGTACACCAAAGTGATGCTCTGTGTTCTGTTTTGTGGTTTCACTTCGGTGAAACCATAAAAGCAGCAAACCCAGCTGCACCCCTTCCTGAATATAGGCAGTTCAGGATTTCTTTCTATGTTCCTGCATTGGGCAATATAGACATACCCAGGAGATGAGCACTCCCCAACCCATCATTTATGGGCAATACGTTGCCTAAGAGACTATTTGATGTTGCTTATGGCACAGTAAATTAACAAGTTGAAACAGAGGCTGACACAGAGAAAGCCACATAATGGTCTGAAGTAAGTATAGTTAAGGTTGTTGTCCAACATGAGCTTGGGGACTACAGCCATGTGTATCATCATATTTTTCTGCATGCCAATAGAAAAGATCTATGTATCAGGGAAACAATGCACCTTACTAGCAGCAGCTTGAATTACAAACTTTACTATAGAGTGGAATGAAGCTGCAGCTTATGTTAGACTTGTGGATTAAGCCTTCTTTAAGCAGTTAAGAAGCTGGCAGCAGTTTATTTTGTTGCTTGTAAACTTTTTTTTCCCTCTTATTTTACTAGGTCTGTCCTTAAATGTATTAGTTCATTCAATTTTTTTTTCCCTTGTGAAGGTTCATATTCTTAAATACATCATCCCTTCAGCTTTACACCTTCCTGCTATTACTAATTGGGTGGGGTAGGATTTACAGGAGTAAGGATAGTCTTCCCTTAAATTTTTTGCACTCCTTGGGGAAGGCATCATGTTGCGTAATGGTGCAAACAAAATAATTCAACAGGAACAATGCATGTAGAAACTGGAAATGCAGAGTTATTACTTTATATAAACTATACCAATTATTCCTGTTGAGCTGACAGCACATCACCTTTTCTTCCTTCCTTGACAGTTATCCAAATGCAACAAGAAAATATTCTGCTTGGGAAGAACAATGATTTATAATTTAAATTTTCCAATGAAACCAGAACACGGCTGGTGAAAGTGAAGACTTTTCTCCAGACGTGTTCATTACTAGCAGCTGAAATAAATAGGCAGTTGTGAACCACTGCTTTGTAAGCCCAGGCATCAGTCTGAGAGCTTCCGTGATCTTTCAATAGCTATTACTGTTTAAATTCAAGTATATGTATTCATTAAAATATTATACATTTCATGTAGTTTGGACAAATCAAGAAGAATTGTGGAAGGCCTTGATTTCACAGAAAACAGTACTTTGTTTTCAAGATAGACCAATCTTACATCTCACCTACAATTTACTGCTTTTCAAATCTAAGCTAAGATGCCCACAGCAGAAAAAAATGATTTTGCTTGGCATTCACCATGATGCTTGAGCACTCACCTGTCACTCTTGTCTTAATGAGGGCTGCTGGGTTATGAGCATCTACAAAAAACGGCCACCCTATTTTAATTGAGGCAGAGGACCCAACCCTGCCCATCCATATCCTGTTTCATTGGAAAATGAAAGCTCTACCTTCTGCAGAGCCCCAGGGCCCTGGAGGGGTAAGGTGCTCATAGAAAGAGTACAAATAATTGTTTTTTTGGTTTTCTGCCCAATCTGGGGCTTTTTTAAACTTAATTGAAGTACCTATGAAATACTTTCTTGCTTTGAAGGTTTTAATCTTTAGTAAGTATGAAAAAAAATCTGGAATGTTTGTTTAATTGAGATTTTAAAAATACAATTCCCCATCATTAAAAACAAAACAAAACACAACCTCTCCATCCAAAATAGCTGATGATTTAACATTTTAAGTCGCATATATTAGAGACATATTAATTGCTCTGATGTTACATTATTTTGACGGAAAGTTAGTGTCCACTTCTGGGTATTATGAAAGACCTCTGAGGGCCTTTCTAGCCAAAGCAAGGTCCCAGCCATTTCAAAGGAAAAGGGACCTTCAAGTAACAGATGAGCTCATGCAGGATTCAAGGTGTGAGCAGACCTGCTTAGAAAGATGTAGGTTTTTTCCTTGGTTTGTTCACTTTAAGGAGCAATTTTGTTCCCCACACAGTGAGATACATTCCTTGTTCAAACACTTCTTTGGGTTGAATAAATCTGAGAAAGAACATCAGGCTTTTACTCAGCAGTCATAGTACCTGGACCACCCATCTCTTGTTAGTTTAACTGCCCCTAGAACAAATAATAACCAGTGGGAGAATGGTCTGGACCACTAATGGAGATGGTGCACCTTTGGTTAGTCCAGGTTTGTGTCATGCCAGTGACAGCCAGTTGGTTTGAAGAACCTCATTCAATAATATGATGCTAGTAAAAAATAAGTTTTCTAAACATCCTTTATTTTGAATTGAATACCAAATAATGGAACCCTGTAGGGTTTGGACAGGGTTTGGAAATAACTGAATAAGCTATTGGATGCAATTCTTAGGTTAAGATGTCCCTGCAAGAGGTAGTTGTAATCCCAGTGTCTATTTTGGTGGGTTTTCTCCTGTTAAAGAATAACTGGTATTAACAGATGCCTGTTTTTTAGTTTCTTTTCATTAGAGATTTGCATCTTCACTCACATAACCAGTTACTGCTTACAGGGTCATTAGTCTTTTGGCTGGAGCAATGATGAATATTTTCCTTAAGTGTGACATGTAATCCAGTAATGTTCCCTTCTTTGAGTTATTTCAGAGGCTTAAATAAATTAGGTGTCTGCCCAGGGTGCCATGCCCTTTGGCCTGTGACATCATTAATCAAAATAGCTTTCAATTGGTTACAGTGGGACTTAGGCGCCTGTTAACCCCTTGGTGACTCACCCAGAGATTCCTGAAGAACTGATCAGTGTTTACCTTTAAGCACGGCCGTGCACTTGCGTAAATGAGCCATATGTGTAACCCTACCCTTGTCAGTGTGAAACTGGACTCTTCAAGCATGGCACTTCTTGCAATGTCCATGCAGTTTTGTATAGCTATATATATATATATATATAAAATAAAATAAAATGTACTTAAGAGCATCATTACTTGATGCATAAGTAATTTTTTTTTAAGGAGCACAAGTGCAGTTTAGGCCATGAAGAACGCTTCTGAAGACTTCAGGCAGTGTTTTTTCAGGTGATACAGATGGCAATAATTTGGCTTTTCAGTTATTTTTTGTATGTGTGTATATATGTATGTAAGTTAGATACATAGTATGTATATCAAATATATAAGTTTATACGTAGATACAGGTGCCATATGTGCATGTTAGCAGTTACCTGGTAACACTTTTTGTAAAAACACAGATGGACCCCCACGATTTGTCATTAATGGTAGCATTAATATTCAGGCTTCTAAACTTTTCACATCTACACCAGTCGGCATTTTCATTTATTTTCTTGGTGCTTGAACTAAAACCTAGTCAGGGGTGATAATTTTCTTAACATACTATTCACTTTTCAACCAATTTTACTTTTCTCTTTATCAGATCAACTGTGGTTCCCAACCGTTGCTTCTGGCTGGCTATGAAGACGGATCAGTGGTCCTTTGGAATTTGTCAATGGGAAAAGTGTTGAGCCAACTTTTTTGCCACCAGGAACCAGTGATGAGCCTTGACTTTGACTCAGAGAAGGCCAAGGGGATCTCGGGCTCATCTGAAAGGGCGCTTAGCATCTGGAGCCTCAATGAGCAACAGAACCTCCAGGTCAGCATCACTGGCCCTCTAGTGTCATTTATCCCACTTTGCACTAACAGTTTGATAGACTAAAAAAATATTTAGTCATGAAGAAGAGTTGTTGCAGATCTCTGGCTAATTAATCACAGACTGGTTAGAATGCTTGTGCTATGTGACTAGACTTAGCAAAAGATGGTGAGGATTTAAAAAAAAAAAAAAAAGAAACACACAAAAAAAACTCACCAACCCTCTCTCACATGTTTCTGGTTTTACCAAAGTTGCAACAGGCACACAGGCCTAGCATTACTCAAGGCATTGCCTCTGTATCTTCATTTATCATGTTAGTAGTATCCAGCTCTCAGAATGCCCTGAACATTATAAATGACTTATAAAAATGAGAAACAAAGGATTGCTTTTCCAAAGGTTCTGCTTGAATGGATAGAGCTTTCCTTCTGCTGTGGGAAAGACAGAAATATTCCATTAAATACTTCACAAACAAAAAGAAGAGGCATAGCCCAGCTAGCACCAAGAGGGCATGAGGTTTAGGCAACTAGCTTCCTTTTGCACTTGCAGAGCCCTAGCCAGGGACAGGGAAAATTAGTTAATTGGATATATCAGTTTATGTTGCAGCTACACATACCTGGAATAGCTGGTTCAGAAGTAGGTCTCATAATCACCAGTTCAGTATATGCTAGTGAATGGCAATAAATATCACTTAATCTAGACAACTTTAGCAAGTGTTCCAACAGTGACAAGGGGTTAAGTAGGTTTTAACTAGGTGTGGAAATGAATTGTGTAAATAAAGGTTCATGAAAGTGAAAATGGCCTATCCATAGCCCTTTTACTGCTGAGTGCTTTAATTTTTATTTTAAGTGGCAGTTGTCCCCATAACACAGTGAAGAAGACATGAAGCACAGCCCCTGTGTGTCCTTGTATCACTCTCAAGAAGAGAGCTACTGGATGTACCAATTCATGGAAGAAAAAGAATTACTCTTACAGCTTGCAGCTTTTGGGGATTTTTTTTTTTTAGGTAGTGTGTTGAGTTAATGCCATTTTCTGAACAGTTACATGAAAAAATGCAAGTTCGTGGGCAACTGACAATGACACATCACCTATGGGACACTGTGATGGCATATGGTCTGCTAGTATCACCAGAGAACTAGCACTTATGGCTCAGTCTGCCAGTAGGACCCCAGTTCATGGTGTATGAATGGTGTATGCAAGACGAGGTTTGGAGGACAAAGTGTTCACCAGGTCGTGAAGAGAAAGTCTGAACTTTAACATGCAATAAGCCATGACGTGAAAAAGGGACTCTAGACTCTGAATTTATTAGAGCAGTTCTAAGCAAATGTGATAAAGAAGAATTTAATGAGAACAGTACACAATTGTCACAGTTTGGTTTTGTATTGGCACCCACCTGCACGTGGAGGCCATAGCTCAGGGAAGGAGGAGGAAGGTGAGCTGCTAAGAAACTCAGTACTGTGACGAGTTTCCTACGGCTGTGGTGTCAGAAATCGGACACCATGATAGCCTTAAGGCTTCCAACACTGTGTTGGAAAGGAAGCTGTTCCTTCATATTAGTTATAGCATAGCATTTTCCTAAATTCAGAGAAAATACTGTTCTTCAGAGCACATCACAGTTATGAGTTAAGTGTAATGCAGCGGTACAGGTATGACTCCTGGGAAAAAAAGTTGTTCACCTGAAATATTCCAGTTACTGTTTTCCACAGGGTGTTCCCCTTCCCAGGACATGCAGAGTCACTTACATCTTCAGCACATCACACTGAAAGCCAGTCGCATTTCTCAGAATAAATTTAAATGCCAAGTATATAAACCACAAGTAATGTCTCTGTGCTTCATGCGTAGTGTGAATTCCCTAATAAAATGCATTTTTCATATGAGCACTAGAGATTGTCAAGGACATAGATTAAGTTTTTTTTTTTTCCTCCACTATTGCATTAATAATATAAACCAGATGGGGAATTTTTTTTCTGGCATTCCAGTTACCTTAGGTAATGGTAGATGTTGGAAAGCCAGTCAGTGGCACATTATTTTTATTCTAAAAGGTTTTAATAAGTAAACGTGGTGCATAGCTATCTGCCGTTGGAGAAATAATGACGCAATGATGGTACTTCAGCTCTGTTTTCAGTGGCAATGTTCCAGTGTGTCAATGAATAGATGATGAAGGTAACTTCATAGTTTATCGCTATGGGGAAAGGCTGGTGTATTGTCTTCTACAAGAAAATTGCTGAAATCATCACTGTCAGCAAATGACTGGATTGGTTATGAGCTTTCTGATTTGGCTGAGATAGTATAATTAAGTGATGATATTTGTGGTAGAAGAACATAGGAGGTAAACAGCTTCTGCAGGTGAATAAACAAAGGAGAACTAAGAAATCTGGTAATCACGGAAGCACCTACATAAATATAAGAAAGAAATTTATGTAAATAAGAAGTACCCAAGTTCTGTTGGTTGGGTTGCTGAGGTTTTTCCCTCCAATGCTAAAGCTAAAGTTGCTGCTCTGTCAGCTATTTTTCTATGAAGACTAGGGCTTAAAGATATGATTTGGGTGTAGGAGAGAGATATAAAGAAGAAAAATAATAGATGGCATGTGTTAAGGAAGGAAGGCAAGGTGGCTATCTGTTGGCTTCAGCATGTCAAAATTTCTTAATGTATCTGCTGGTAGATGTAAGCATCTTTGTTCATGACTGCCTGAAAGCAGGTCACCTGCTTCTCCCTTTGTTTGCTTAATTATAAGTTGGTTTTCTGGTTAGGAAACAGTGTCGGTATGCATTTGACTACATGCAGTATTTGGCTGTTACTGACTGGATGGCCAAATCCTGGCAATAGGATTTCACCTGGGCGCAAGTATCTTGAGCAAGTTGTTCTGCTTTGTTTTTGTCTCTCACCTCCTGTAGCTGCAAATCATGCACAAATGCCCACTGTTCCCTCATGTTCCGTAGCCAAAAGGCATTACCATTATAGGCTTCATTTTCAAGTTGTAGCATGCTGATGACATGCAATTTCTCCCAGTTGTCCTGATTTTGCTGTATGGATCTTGCCCAAATTGACAGTAATGATGGGAAGCACCACACCCAGGATTGGCTATAGCCATTAGCTAACAATCTCAGTTACAGAGTAAGGCCCATCTTCCTTCCATCTGACAGGCTGGTGATGTAACAGATACTCTGCTTGCCAGTGCACATATGCCAACAAAAATCCTACTGAAGCCATGCTGTGATACCATAACTGGGGAGTTTGGAAGAAAATACACACCAGCAAAAAGCACAAGTTCTACAGTAACAACCCTCCCCTCTACCCCTACCCCCACCCCAGCCCTCATGCAGCCTTCTTCTGCTCATCAGATTTCAGCATAATTTGCTGTCCTCTGTTCTGAACTGGTTGAAGACACATTTGTCAGGTTGTGTTTAAAATAGGGGTGTTTGGAGCAGGCAAGAAGCATGCCAAGTTTCATTTAGCCTTTTTTTCTTATTGAATTTGCACATCTCTTGCTGTTCGAGTCGTTACATAGTTGAAAAATAACTGCTTATAGCTTTGTACCTGAAAGATTCTGAGATCTTTTCAGCTGCATCTGAAACCAACTTTGACGTATGTTTCTGGAGTCTTTAGTTTTCCAGATTCAATATTATAGTTAACAGAGTCTGCAATTAATATATTCTGTAGAATCGCGTACTAACTATGCGGCATGGAATGTCCATCATGGGGGAAAGTTACTCAGACAAAAATGTGTTTTCCCATCCCTTCTCTCCCCAGGAAAACAGCAGACAGCATGCAGTGTATTAAAACGTGAATGGAATTACATTAAGCTTTGGTACAAGATAGTTACACATTCAGTCTTTAGTAGTTGGCAGCATTAATGTGTCATTGCCAATTGTAATCTTAAGTTGTGCTTATAAATAACAGCACATTAAGATCAGCATACAGTCAAAAGGTGTCATCCACACTCTGACAAAGCTAGGCTACTTCAACCCCCACACAGTGTGATGCATTACACTGCATGTGTTTCAGAGACTGCTGACTAATGTAAGTTATCTGAGGTGAGAACAGCAAAATTGTATTATATGGAGTTTTTCCTGTGCTTTAGGGGATGCTCATGACAGTGAAGTGAAACTTTTCTTTTCAAGGGCTAAGTCCTGTGCCCAGTGCCTCAAGAAGGAAGCTAAATGCCCTCCAGTTTAATCATGCCCCTCAAAAGCTTGTGCCCCAGTAGTCTCCAAACAGTAACAAAAGGCTTCCAGGATTGAAATCAATAACTTGTTCATAATCCCCTTCTTGGAATTTGGTGTAAATAAAAGTCTCTGGGGAAGCAGTACTAGAACTACAGATTTCCTGACACTGTAATATAATTCCTGGAAGCATTCCTTTCTCAAGACTGTGGTAAATGCTACCACAGCTTATTGAGGCTTTTGTGAGGGGCCACAGTAGTAGAAATAAGTAGCAGGTAGTTTAAACGTCAGCTCAGAATCTCAGCATAGGAATACTGCAAAAGCAGGGGAAACACACGGCCATAGCTCTGAACATGGCAGCTCATGCAAGAATAGCTGGAAAGGCAAAGCTGCGTAGTCCAGTTCTCAAACTCACACCCTTAACTCAGAGCTTCACTTGTGACCAAACATGAACAGCTTTAAATGTGATATAAATCAAAAACATAAAAGGGATGTTTCTGTTTTTAGGGAATGGTGCTGGAGGTAGATAGGCTCAAGTTAAGTTAATTGTTCTCACTAACACATTGTCCACCATGTGGTGAAAAGCCCCTACTACCTGCATGATACCAGTGTGCATATGGGTGGGTACTCTGTCTTCGAAAGTCCCAGAAGGTTCTGTTTTCTGTTGGTTTTAAACAAAGAAAGCTCATCTATAACTTTCTCACACAGGTTCACACAACACACAGGCTTGTCAATGCTGGCATATCTGATATCACCATTCGTCCAGACAAGAAGATTTTAGCAACAGCAGGGTGGGATCATCGCATCAGGGTCTTCGGCTGGAAAAAAATGAAACCCTTAGCAGTGCTGGACTACCACACGGCAACTGTCCATTGTGTGTCCTTCTCGGATCACAAAAACCCCAGTGAGAGACTGCTGGCAGCTGGTTCAAAAGATCACCGCATCAGTATCTGGTCAATATATACGCAGACGTGACATGGTCTGCGCTGTCGGGGACTAGGAGAGTAAGATTGGTGAAGAAAATCACTGTAATTCAAACCTGGATGTGGGTAAGTAGTAGAATGTATTTCCAGGCTAAAGTCAGAGTCCCTGGAAACTGCTAGATTAATTTTTATGCTGCTTGTTCATGTGGCAAGTTTTGTTTCCCAGAGAGGGGAGTTGATTTTTTTTTAAAAATTATAACAAGTGGAACAAGGCCAGTCTTGAACAAAGACACAGGACAAGCCACTTTAAGTTCTGCTACAGGTTTTGCAACAGCTTTTCTTTGGCAGGTTGCTTAAATAACTTGTGCCAATTTCTGGAAAAAAGACTGGAATCTCTCAGACAGCTGTGGGGGCAGAATATGTCTGTTTGTAAGTCATTTATGTATCTGAGAATCTGAATCACTGTAAAATATCACTTTTGTGAGAATTTATACCCATTAAACCACCTCCAGTGGTTTCTCATTGTCAGTTACTTTTTCTTCCCTGTAACTGAAAGGCTATCAGAACAACCTTGATTTGTTCACACTTCTGTCAGTTTCTAACTTAAACCAACAGCCAGGAATGTGACTAGGGACGGCCTTTGGCATTTATGAATTTCATTATGTCTCCTGTCACCTCAAGCCTCACAATTAATCATGAGAAGAAAAGGAAAAAAAAAAAAAAACCTTCCCCTGCACTGCACTGCAAAGCTATGTAAAGCCTTTTACAGAGCCAGTGCTAAATCCTTTCCATAGACTGACTAGCTGAAGGATTTAAACTCAGCAATCCAATTAGCGCCTTCTCCTTGGAGAGTTAGGGGTAAGTTTCAGCATGGCAAGTCTGGGATTCAGCTACACAACTCACATTAGCATTTAGGGGAATTTCATGGATAAATCCTTATCCACACTGTGCAAATGGATCCATTAACTTGTCATCTCTACAGTCATGGAAACTGAAATTCATTCATGAAGAAGGTTTTCTGAATCATGAAGCATTAGCAGTCTTTCAAAACATACTAGACTTTTGACAGTCTGTTCAGGGATAGCTTACTGTTGCATTCGGTCACAAAGTTGCAGTTGCAACTGTCCAACTGAAGCAATTAAGCAAGTGCCAATTTGTTGAAGGCATTATTTTAAAAGGAGGTGTTCTAGAGACTAAAACACAGTTTTACAAACTGGAGTGTCTTGTGTCCAGGCTGTGCACTGTTAATATTTTATTGGAAACATTTTTTATCTGCCTCTGTACAGGGTTGGACATCAAAGAAAAAGTCACAAGAATTGTAGCGAACAGCAACATCAAAAGATTTCAGAAATTATTTCACGGAAAACACACACGCAAATTAAGGTCTGGATCTGCTATCCAGCTGTGAGTTGCAGGCAGAAGGTTGAACTTAAAGTCTTAGGCACCAAGCCTGATGTTCTTGCTATTACAACACAGAAACAGCATACTGTTACCAGGCTTTTCCAAATAAAACTTGGCCTTACACTTTTTGTAGTTAGATGACACTTCAAATAATTTGTTTCTTTGATTATTTCTTTACTATTAAGTAGCTGCATGGAGGTACTATTAAGTAGCTGCATGGAGGATCACACTACAATTGAAAGCTAAAGCCTAAGTTTGAGTGACCTGAGTCAAGCGGAGGTGCTGGTGTTCATTACTTCTACCAGACACAGTTGTGTGGATGATAAGGGCTCTGTCTCCACAATCGCCCACCTCCCGCCGAAAGGAGGGGCTGCCTACACTACACAGGCGTCTCCAGGCTAGCAGCCTGACGGAACCAGACACGGGCCTTCTCCACAAACCTGCTGCAGGAAGAAACCTGTTTTTTTTTTGTTTGTTTGTTTGTTTGTTTTTTGTTTGTTTGTTTTTCCACCCCCACCTGTCCCTTCTTAAAGTTGGTCAGAATCTAAGCGTATAACTCATATAGATATAACAGGATACTTATATGCGTACACAGAATATATAACTACAGAAAATATTGCCATGTGTTGTCCAGGGACCTGTCATAGTGTGTTTGCAAAGAGCTCCTTTCAGCTGTCTCACATTGTAGCGCACTGCACATGAAGCCTGTCAGGCAGCCTTCAGACTGCTGTCTCTTCCATTTGGGGCATGCTCTGTATACTGAACGCAGTTTAATTATGCTGTATGAGAATGATCTCACAAATCTTAACAGCGTGTAGCTCAGTGGTAAGCACTCAAGTTTTAGTCTCCTTGCTACTTAGATTATAAATAAATCACATGAGATGTGTTGGAACACAAGTCCTCATCTGCTCAGGAGAGCACTTTCCCTGCTGCTCTCACCTGTGGAATCGCTGCACCCTTTTATCAACAACCTTGCTGTGAGGGATGAGGAAAGCCTGTGCCCTGATACCACTGTCAAGCTGGTGGCTAGGCACTGTCCTCAGCTGTGAAAAGACAGCTTTGCACCTTGCCTAGCATGGACTCTGTGTCCTGTGTCAAAAATGAGCACTCTACACCCTACCTCCTGCCCCCTCTCCTGCCTTAGGTTCAGGGCTAGAGGCAGAGCTGGTGCAGTCGTTCTGCAGGGTGTTTGAGCACGGCCAGGAGTGCCACCTTAGGACAGCTGGACAACAGGCACGGGACTACTCGATGCTGGAGCCCAGCATCAGTGTTCAAGAGGCATTTGGATAATGCCCTCAGTAGCATGCTTTAACTTTAGCTGTGAAGTGGTCAGGCAGTTGGACTTGGTGATCTTTGAAGTATTCCCTTTTGTTTTATGCTAACATGCTTTTAGACTATCAGCTGAAACACTTAGCCACCGAGCAAAATTTATTTCCATGGTACATTGCTCCAAACAACAACAGAAACCAACACACACAAACATCCCAACTCTGACGACACACAGCAAATCCCTGCACTGTGAACCCACACTCAGTTCTCTCCCTAGCTATTAAAAGTTCCTTTTCCTCCCCTTCTTCTTGCTGGACTTGAGAGCTGCACCACAGCAGCACTGCAGGTGAGGGAGTAGCCTGGAGGGAGCAAGCATTCCTCTTCTCCATGGCAGCAAACAATGTTGGGCAATTTCCGCAGAATTCAGCCTTAGGTTTTATGCTCAACCAGCAGACAAGGAAAGGAAATCCAGGGCTTGCCCATCTTGAGTGAAAGGTTACTGCAGGCAATGAGAATGGCCAAACCTGCTCCCTTTAGAGAAGGAAAAGCGTTCTTGCCTCCCCTCCTGCTAATGAGGAAGGGCAGTTCTGCCACCAGAGCACTGCAAGCAGCAAGAAGCCAGTTTCAGGACAGGACTGGGTGTTAGGATGCAAACCTCCCCAGCATTTCAGGGCAGCTCTGTGCTCAGGACACACCCCTTGTTCTTAACACCAGTTACCAGCACCTACTGCTCCTGGGGCTGCGTGAGGCTCCAACCCAGCCTGGCATTTGCTCCTGGCACAGCCGGCTGATGGGTTGGGGCAAAGCCACCCCAAGATGTATTTCCCTCTTGTGTTCTAGGTCTCAAAACAGTACGTAAAGTGGGGCTGTAATGAAGGCCTGCACACCTTACAGCCACATTTATAAAAACTTCTGATGCAAATATTGGCATGGTGGCAGCCCTCCCTTCTTTCCCGGAAGACTGGATGAACACCCCATGTCTTAGTAAGAGTGCTAGTAGGTCACAGCCACAGAGTTAGAAACTCTTGAGTATATTATTTTATCTGATAAAAATGCCACTTACTGTCATGGTTGGTGTATAATAATTACGGAGAGTCACAAAGGACACCGAGATTTACTAATAGCTCTTTTGGAAGATGTGCTATGTGCCTTGAAATCTAAATAACTGCCCTTTGCTAGGGGTTAAATATTTATGTTTGTCTGACTAGATCGATTTAAAAATAAACTCAGTCCCGCAAGCACAAATTGAAAATGAGGACACGAACTGCATCTGTAACCTTACTAGCAGACAGAAACAGGTAAAGAATGTCATCAGCTTCAAGAGGAAGGACACATGTATGTCAATCCGCTTGCAAGAACAGACCCATCCTGTACTTACTTGCTTCCCTTCCCATTACCAGAGCACTAGCCACATCGTACTTTCACATGGTATATCTATTAATTCATTATCACTGTAAATCACTATTGTCTTTTAAACAGTAAAGGGAAAATTATTTTTTTCACATTATAGTTTCCTTGAAATAAGCAACCAGGCTACATTAGTTTGATTTAGAGTTGAGCCTAAATACCATAGTTTGAATGTGAATTACAGTTTTCTAGAAGTTTATTTGCTTAAGGAGCTGACCTGGACTTTCCCAAAGCAGAATGATTTCCAGCAGGAAGGACAGTCTATGTTTATACAGACTGTAAAATATAGTTGTCTGATTGCATCAGGAAAATTAAACTATTTTCAGGAAAAAAAAAAGAAAAAAAGTTTAAGCTCTTTACAACTGTAACACGAGCATGGTTATCTGTCAAGATTTCAGCTGACTTGCTAGCAGGAAGGTTGTGAGTAAAGAGCCACCTTAAGCTGCTGGAGTTAGCTCTGGAATCTCACCTGCCAGAAAGGAATAAGGCTAGCCTGTACCTGGCCTAAAGGATTCAGGAGTGAAGGTGATGACAGCTAAATTATTACAAAAGGCTTCCTCCCAAGAATCACCGTCTTTGGCACTGTGAGAGGGAAGAAAGCAACCAGTATTCATAAACTAATGGAAATAAATCCCAAACACTAGCATTTGTGCAGCAATTACATGGAATATTTATCACCACTGGAATGAATGGTGATCTCTGACCCGCTAACATTTTCTGCAAATGAATCTATTAGTTCCAGCCCCTTTCTCTTATCAGTACATGGGGCATAAAGCATTGCAGTCCTAGGTGTAGATGAGCAAGGAAAGAGAAGATTAATTGTATTTCCAATAATGAGTGAAAAAGGAAGTAGGCTGAGGGCCTGCAACAAGACAGTGTTAAATTTAGTCCTGTATATGATGCAATTGCATGAGTAAACCAATTTCTTGGTTTACTCATGCAAGACCAAGAAATTTGGTCTGTGCAGCTTGACTTGGATTGTTGCAAAGGTTTGAGTTTCAAGGAGCACATTTTTATAGTTAAGTTAATAATGGCTTCTGGACTGCTTTGGTAAAATTTTTAGCACATTTAAGATGCATCTACAAAGCCAACTTCTTACAAATTCGTAAATCTTTTCTTTAATTCAGTCTGCCAAGAACAAAGATAGAATACTGACTACTGCAGAAGCCACGTTAGTGATGTAAACCAAAGGACTAGGGATTAAACAGGGATTACTGAGCACTAAATCAATGTGTTTCCTTTTCTGGCTGTGTGTCTGTGGTGTGAAAGTATGGATCATTACATAAAACATGGCACATGACTGCCTGTACTCAACAATGTTAAAGCACCGCTGAGACACGAGGTTTGATATTTAAGCACGGCCATTCTGTGTGCTAATAAAAAAGCGATGGCAATGAATAAAGAAGAAGGAATGGCTTTCTCTGTTTGTAGTATTCTGGAATTCCAGTCTG